GATTGGATAAACAAATTAAGGGTCTAAAAAATAATTTATCAATTTTTGGGGGACTGAACTAAACACGCCCATATGTAATATTAATTGGAATTCTATTATTACTTAAATTCTAATTAATTATTTTATTAATTTAAGAAATAAATAATTAATATAAATAATTAATATAAACAAATAATTATTTGTTATTTTATATTAATACTTTACTGTATATAAATTATTACTATATCAAAATAAAAAAAATATCGATAAAAAATCGATTTTAAACTTAATTATATAAAAAAGAAGAAATTTTGCATATACAAAATAATATTTATAAATTTTTTGTCCTTATAATGTGACAGAAATGTTATAATAAAAGTAGGCTTGTATATAAAGAACAAAGTACATTTAATAACTTCATATTATCATAAACATATTAGAAATTTATTATAAATCATGCTAACTGATTGCAAAAATAATTGAACAGAGCAATTGCAAAAGTTTGTATACAACCATTCGTCCTAACAAAAGAAAAGGTTTTAATGGATTTATGAACCTAATCAGGAAATCTTTTGAAAATAGATTTATGCATACGAAATTAATTCACCTATTTCTTTTTATTATAAGGTGTTGCAGATTTCCTGATTGTAGATCCACTCTATTAAATTACAAAATTATGTCAGGAACATAAAGTGAAATTTACATTGTACACATTATTATTTACCAGTCCCATTTCAGCCAAGTCATCATTAGTTTCGCCATCATGTAATCTACAAGACACTACAGGTCGTATTATATTACAGTTAAGTAAATACGGAATTATATTATTAAAAATCACTTTAAATGGTTCATATTGAATATAAATAAAAGGATATCAGAAACTTTAGTTTTTTTTACTTTTACTTCAACTTCATGTGTGGTTCGAGTACGCAACCTTCGTTGCGGGTGACCACGCAGAGTGCCTTCCATTGCAGTGTCTTCAATTGAGATAACGGTTATTTAAAAAGTTTATCGTATAATAAATAGATTACATGATAACGATCAAAATACCATTGTTTATGTCATAACTTTCATAATCTTCAGCGAGCTTTCGCTTTTTTTCTTCGATATCTGTTATTAATCTGTCGTTCACCAATTGGCGTTGTGCCTTTAAACAATGATATTATTATTTAACCTAACTATAAAACTTATTATTGTTAATGGAATAGAACAACATACTTGATAATATTCATCTACGCGTAGTGTTTCTGCTTCAAACTCTTTTTGTATGCATTGCCGCCGATAGATCAATGCTAATGCGTGTGATTCTATTGCTCGTTCACGCTTGTCAATAATTTGTTGTAAACGTTCTTCAAACTCGGGATGTGTGCCTGTATTAATAAATAACACGTAATGTTAATACACGAATCACAATTATCTATGCTGTTAATACTTTAATAATGTAGCATTCATTCGGACCTTCTCGAACTGCTTTTATCTCTTCGTCAAGATGCTTTAATCTTTCTGTGTATATCCTACAAAAAATTGTAAAATTCATAGAACATAAACCTATGTTTCCAAAACACGTTTGAATGTCGTGTCAAGAATGGTTGGCTCTGGAAGAGTTATTGTAGGATATCGAATTGCTTAATTGTTTGAACTCCGAATCAAAGACCGACTAAAAGGTATTTGAAAGGAACAAGTTTATATAAGAGAAAAAAAAAAGAATACAACGTAAAGACTTACTCGTCCTTTTTCTTATTAAACTCCGAATTTAAGTAATTAAGCCGTCCTAATACATTTTGTCGACTTTTTAATGTCTCGTGGTCAATTGATGCACCAGTGCTCACTAATATAACATAATAAGTTAGGGTTATTTCTTTATGGAAATCTTATCTCTTGAAACATCAAGAAAATTAGGTAAACTTTAATTGTAAACAAGACGCATGCCTGTTGAGGTTTCATTTTCCTCACGTTCAACTTTGCTTCCTTTTGTAATCTCATCTTCATCAGGTTTCAACGTTTCTATTCCAAACTGTGAGTCATTGCCGTCTAAGACCGTGTCGTGCATCATATTGTCATGGTCTTGAGTTTGGTCAACGTCAGACGACTCTCCTTCGTAATAACTAGGTTTTGCTGTTTGTCTTTGCGCACGCTTTGAAGCCTTGTTGTGAGAGGCTTTATGGTCGGAGGGAGGCATTTGCTGAAGCAGGGTTAGATATTCTTAAATGCGACTAAAATTGTTGTTGTTGAGAATGCGTTATAAAAAAGTTCATATAAAAGTATATACGCTCAATCATAGCTCCTTTCTATTTATACCAAGTAAAAGATAAGAAATATATTTTACTGCGCAATTGAATTTGAAAAAATCAGTAAAAATCGGAACCAATAAAAAATTGTTATTTTAAAAATGATGGCTAAGCCACTGATGGTTTAAAATTTGATTGGCTAAGGGTCAAGATGGTTTTCAAGTGATTATTTTATTTTTATTTTTTTATATTGTTTTACTTTGCATTTATTAATAAAATTCTTTAAAATTAAATTGATAAAAAAATAAAAATATATAAATATTTAATAATTTATAAAATTTAAAAATTAAAATATAAAATTTTTATAAAAATTAAATTAATTAACTCTTTCTGCTGATCCCTTTGCCAATACAAAAAACAGATGTTCCAAGGAAATCTTTATATTTCTTTGTAATAAAATCTATATACTTTCATTAACAACACTTATACCAAGAGACTATAGTCTCTCCCACTTGTTTCTTTTTTTCTTTAACATAAACTTCTTGTATTTCTGCAAGTAAATATAAGAAATACCTACTTATAAAGTTAAAAGCAAGAAAACTTTGTTAGGAAAAAGAATCTATAAAAAAAATACTTTTCTCTTTTTCTCCAGAGATTCAAAACTCTAGAAAAGACTAATACAGTTTTTGGAACTCTTCTCTTATCTTTCTCAAGCTTCTTCCTATCTTTTCAAGCATGTAAACTTTTTCTTGATTTTTTGAAGAAATTTTACCTATTTTAGTTTGATCTTAAATTTTTTATTACATCAGAATCCTTGAATGGTGATTGGCTCGAATTTAGGACTGGTTAATCTACATGTAGCAAGAAATATAAACAAGACATGTAACTTCCACATGTCCTATCTCGTACAACACAAAACCCGATAATGCAATTGGACATAGTAAAAAGAGCAAAGTGATAAGGTACTTTTTTTGTTAAGAAGTGTTATAGTATTTTTTTCTTCCCTCTTGGATTGGTTTCTTTTCTCTTCAAGATCAAAAGAAGTCCTATTCTAATCCAGTAAGAAATTTCTTCTTTTGTTAATTATCTTGAGAAGCGCAGCAAGCATTAGTGTAAGTCTTGTCTCAAATAATAATTTTCAATAGGTATACGACTTGCTTCAAGCAATATGTAAGTCTTATAATAAGTACTTTGAACATTCTTGGTCAACAAAAGAATGGTAGAAATTAAATGGTTCACCTGGCTGCAGGTGGTGGTAAAGGATTTATCCTGATGAATCAAAGTTAATATTGGAGAGTTTTTATTTACCAGAATAAACTTTTTATTTATCCTTTTTACTTTTTTTTTTTTTTTTAAAAATAAAAATTTTTTATCTCTTAGAATCACAGGTTCATATTGGAGTGATAGCCTGAATGTAGGCTGGTGATAATTTTTCTTAAGGCCAAGGAGTGGTCTTAGAAAAGGAGCGATTTTATTATTTCTCACGATTACACTTAGAGAATTAAGATTTGGAAAGTCTAAGATAGTTAATATTATACAGTAATAGCTTAATGAATCAACTTTTTTGTATAAAATAGTTAGTAAATAGCTAAATCATATGGGCAACATGATGGTCTTGGTATTAAGGATTTAAGAATCACATACAAATCTAAAAATAACTTGTTAATAGGTGTTCTGCAATAGGTATAGTTTAGTTCTAGTATAAAATCATAAAATTTAATATACTATTGTTTTATTTGTACAAAAAACAATAATTAATAAATATAGCGATTGCAGTCTGATTAGAGGCAAAAAAATTAAAATATAACTTAATTATATATTTAATATATAGTAATAATTTTTTTTTAAAAAAAAAAATCTTTTAGTATAATTTTTATTATATAATTTAAAAAAAAATTATTTTTTTCTTTTAATTAAAATAAATCAATATAATAGAAATTATATATATACAATTTTTTTTTTTTTTTTTTTTACTGTCAAGGTAAAACATGTTTCATAATTTTTATTAATATATAATTATTATTACATGGTTAATTTTTAAGATATGAGATATATGAACAAAGTAAAACTATGTACATATTAGTCTATCATTTATTATGGTAAATATATTTTTAATAAAAAAACTCTTGAGCAGAAAAAAAGTTAAGAAAGAAACTATTTACATATAAGGACAAAATAAACTATATATATATAAATTTGAAGAACAAGATTGCTATAGTATAAGTGAAGAAATGTGGAGATATTAAAAATTGAAAATTGAAAATTTTTGATATGAAGTTGCTATATACTATACATGTTGCTGAAATTTATAGATCCTTGACGCAATTGATACAATTATTTGATGCAATTAATTGAGTCACTATTAAAACATATAAATAATTGAGTCATGATGCAATTATTTTTGAGGATTTTGGAAATTGAGTCAACAGCAAAATAATTTACATCACGTGTATACTATATACATTAATTTGAAGTCAAAGTTAATTACTCCCCGAAAGCCGTATATAGTTAAGAAGTTAGAAATAAAAGTTGTTAAAGTAGTAATAATAAGTATTGAGTTTTGAATGCAATTATCTTTTGTGTTAACAATCCCTTCCACAAGGCACAAACCAAATGTGTCTATATAGCTTTTTTTGATAGCTGAATATAATTCCAGCAGCAGTAAAAAAGCACTGACTTAAGCTGCCAGATTATGGGACACAACTTCTTAATATTTTACTTTCACTCGCAATGAAAGTATTTATTTTCATCCACATTGATTAGGCTTAGGCTGCCTTTTTTTTTTAATGGTAACATTGCTGCTCATGGATCACAACTCCATTGTTAATGATAATTATAGAAAGTTGTATAGTTTGTAGATTAGTGGTATAGTTGAGATAATAGTAAGTCGGATATGGAGCCTGTTCTAATCTTGTTATATTATTTTGGTGCTTGTTTAGTTGAAAATTACCGGAACCTGCATAGGGTATAATCATATACTCTCCCAATTCAGTATGTTGTCAGTTTATTGTGATTGTTGTTGTTATATTGTTGGTGTATAAATATTTTGATGGAAAAATTGTTGTTGGGTATATTAATTTTTGTTAAGGAGCTGGTTATGAATAAGTTTAAATAGGTTTGATATTGTTATTAAGGAGTAAAGATATTTTATTGGTCATTTGTTAAGTGTAGATCTTTGGATGAGATAAAACTAATTGCAGTTTTTTTGAGTAAATTTGAAAAAATTGTAGAATAGTGAGAAAAATAATATGTGGTATTGTTTTTAGATAGACAAAAGAAATAATAAATTTTCAAAAGTTGTATTAAGATAAACATTAGATCCAGTAACTTTGTTTGAATATATTATTAAGGTTGGGTTTGTATTGTAAAGAGTGAAAGGTAAGAGGGAAAATGATTATTATGATTATAAAAGGGAAGGTACCTAAAAACAAAAAAAATTATAAAAGAAAGCTACCACAAGTCTTTTTCTATATAACTAAAAGCTAAGGAAGACTCCCAACTTGTTTAGGTCTTGATCAGAGGTTCTATTCCAATGCAACAGTGTTTCTTGAAGTCTTTATATCCTTTGAGTTTAAAGCTTATTTGTCTTAGAAAGTAAAGAGGAGAAGACACTTCTTAAAAAAAGATTTTTTAAAAAAGAAATTTTTAAAAAATCAATGGTGAATGGGTGAGAGTTTTTTTTTATAATTTTAGATTTGTAAATTATAAAATTTATAATATTAATATTATATTTAAATAAGTTTATTTTTGACTTTTAAATTTTATTAACATGTAAATACTTGCAGGTATCTTTCAACAAGAGAAAGTGGAATTTTTACACATGTCTACAACATACTTATAGAATTGCAAAGATCTGAAAGACAATATTTGCAAGAAGAAAATGTTATAACAATAAACAACTTTCTTTTTAATTATGCCATAAATATATTTCTCAAGAAGGTGACTTCAAGTATCCAAAAAAAAATTAAAAAAATTTGATTTTCCCTGATTAGATAGCAACCAGTATAATGTTATTAATAAAGAAATTATGATTTTCTGCAATAGCAAAAAAAATTTTTTAAACCATCTTTTAGATCTTTGTAAGGCTTATGTAGTCTGGAGATATAGTAAGTTTGTATATATCAATATTAATTTTTTAGAACATGTGATTGCAGTAACTTGTTTAAAAGGAATACGATCTGCCAATAGTAGTGAATTTGATTATCAGGAAGAAGATTTTGATGGTGATAATTTTTATTTAGCCAAATAGAGAATTAAAGTAAAAATGACAGGTATTTTTAAAAAAAATGTTAATTTTTTAATATTTTTTTAAGAAATATTCTTTACTGTTGGCCAGAGGATAAATTGCATGGCACTACAGTCTTGCTGATAAAGGGTGTAACTTGTGGACTGTTACAAAATTTAGTCAAAAAAACAGTAACAGTTGTAAAAAAATAGAAAGAAGGAAAAAAATAAAAATATTATATGGATTATTAACATAATCAATTATTAACAGATACCTATGCTTTACAAGCTCTTGAAAAATCGATAAAAAAAAATAATGAAAAAAATAATATTAATTACAAAAAAACATATATAAATATAGAAAACAATAATTGATTATGGATAAATTAGTAATTTTAATAAAAAAAAATTTTTTTTTCAATGACTGATATATATCTTGTTTTACAAGATTATCTTTGCACAGTATATACAAATTTGTATTATACAAATTTTCCATTACTAATTCCCAAGTAGAACTATCTAAGATTCAGATTAATCTTATCTATTAATCAACTTATTGCCCTCCATTCTTTATATATTACCATCACCGGAATCCTGATCATATAGATAGAGTGTTAATATGTCAGAATGTATATCTTCTAGTTTGACTCACTATCTGATAAATAGAAACTCGAAGAACCATATTTTAATATGATTAGCCATGGACTAAACCATATTTAACAAGAAG